TATAGTCAGCTTATTGCATAAGTCAACTTCCACTGTTATAAGTTGTTTAACTAGATAACATGGAACAGCTAAAATTTTATCTAATTGAGGAGTTTATAGTTCCCTCAACTGTAGATGTCTATATGAGCCAATTACACTTTTGCTTCTATATGACACTGTCTTTGTGGCTGTCACCATGTGCTAGTGGTGCTCAAATATTATGTCTTACTGTTGCTTTTCTCTTTTTGTCCTTCTTAAAGTTGGCTTAAGAATTTTTTGAATCTCTCTGTTTTAAATAATCTATTAATGTGATTTCTTCCAATACATATTAATCTATGCTGAGTAAGTTGTACATAAGTTAATCAATATTCTAACCACCATCAAATATTTATTTCTTCCAGGTGGATCTGACTAAACGCTACGGAAATCTGAAAAATGGAGTAAATGACATCAAAGGTCACAAATGGTTTGCATCAACTGATTGGATCGCGGTATTCCAAAAGAAAATTGAGGCCCCCTTCATCCCACGCTGCAAGGGGCCAGGTGACACCAGCAACTTCGATGATTATGAAGAAGAGCAATTGCGCATCTCATCTACAGAGAAATGTGCTAAGGAGTTTGCGGAATTTTGAGTGTTCCCCCTCACCTTAGTGAGCAGACATTTTATTGTAGGTTTCTCTTAATTTAGTTAAGAAAAGTGTGACTAATTACAATATTGAACAATCTGATGCTCCCTCCCCTTTGAAGAAAAACTGGAAAAGATAAAAAAATTAGTCTAATTGACCTCCTGGTTTTGACCATGGCACGGAGTGAGTTTGCTGCGCTGCTGCGCTGCTGCCGTGTCGCTCTGCGGAGGTTTGTAAATTGTCCCTTCGCTGTCCCTGTTCCCTTACAGTCCCTGTCCCCTCGACGTGTGATTCTTTTTAGCTGTCAAGTGATCAGCCCCATGGTGAGCCTCTACCCACCCCTCCCCCTTTTTACCCTAAGTGCTTTGCTTCCAAAAGTAAGAAACCAAGATGTTGTTTAAGTAGTTTATTTTCCTATGTGCTAAGTATGCTATCACTAGCTGCATTCTCATGTCATATCAGGAAGTAAGGCGAGCCTCTTAAACAGGGTTTATATCGAATACTGTATATCTGTTCCTATGGCTCCTATGTGTAAAGAAAGAAATCAAGTATACACCATTTGTACCCTTTGGCAGGCTGCGTAGTATAATTTGAAGATTTGTGTTCGTTGTGCAAGGAATTTGGCATTTATAGAATTAATTGAACGGAGTGTGGTGGTTTTTTAGTGTGGCCCTAGCCTTCCTATCGTTTTGACTGCCTTCCCAACATCACCTGTGTCACCCGAGCGCTCATATATTCAAATATCCTTTATTATATATGGTGAATTATATTATTTTTGTTTGTGCTTATGATTATGATCAGTTAAACCTGTGCAATGCAAGATTGTGTTGTTAGTAATATGGTGGAGAGTGGTCGCAGAATATGTTAAAATTTATTTGTTGTTACTAGTCGAAATTGATGTGTTTAGCGTGAGTGTGGACAACATAGGACCAAACGTGAGAGTAGTGCTCCCCTACTAATATCTTACTCTTAACTACAGTATTTAATTGTAACAGTTTGTTTTTTGGTGACAAGACCGTGATGTGCTGCTTGCGAGAGGTGGCTGGACCCTGTGCCATATAACAGGAGTGACAAGTGCCAAAGCCTCTTGAAAAATACCACATAGGTTTCAGTTTGAGCTATTACTTACAAATGCAGCTTGGTTACAGAATCTGGTGTCTGTGGCAACACTTACTCTATCGAACTATGATGTATTTTACAATACATATTTTTATACTTTATTTTCTGAGCTTTAAATTTGAAATTTAAGATTAGTTAACTTCTATCAATTAACAAAATTGTATATGCAGATGAAATGAAAGAAGTCAACGCAGGAATGCTGACAAATCGACCAAGCAATGATTTTGTCACAGTCTCTTCTCTGGTCACATGTTGCCTGATGTGAGTAATTGAGGCAGTCGCTACTGTTTGCCAGAAGCCATATTTTTTCTTTTGTTCTACTCAATGGTGTATGTCTTCCATGGGGAAGATGTCTCTAGGCACATAGACACTAGACCCTGGCGAGGCCGGCCAATCATGCTAACATGCAGCTCTAGAGCCTCTGGAGCCTCTAGCGTGCTGGTGTATGTGTGTGTGAGTGAGAGAGTGTATGTATGCGCGCGCGTGTGTGTGTCCATGTGTAAGAGTGCTTGTATGTATGTGAGAGTGCGTGTTTATGAGGATGGCCACTTCTCTGAAGCGCGCTGGAGGCCACATATGGGGCCGCATGGGAACCACATGGGACCCAGGCACCCAGGCACCCAAGCGGGTCCTGCTTTAACCATCGTGGTTACAAATTATTTGTTGGTTGTTTTCTGTAATAGCTAATTA